TCTCTAGGGAAAAGAGGCATACTGGAGGTCGTGATTTTATTTTATCATCTGTTTCCTTCTTGGTTGCTTTCTCTTAACAAATATCTTTCTGGTTGGTACAGGCAGCTGTTTTCACATCGTACATTCTTAAAAACGACTCAGACTGCACCTTGTTCTTCTTTCCCCCTAATCAAAAGCCTCTGTCCAGGTATTTGATAAATAAATCAAAATATCATTTAAATTGGTGATGGCTATTTACATTTACAGTAAACAATGCAGGGAGGATATTGAGAAAGTTGATCACATTGTCCCCCCTGAGTTTGGATTGTATTTGCCCCCAAAGACAGAGGGGTCGTGGTTTTTAAGGTATGCTATCCGTGCTCAGTACATAGTTATTTTTACCCAATATCTTTTCATAAATCACTTTAGCATGTTGTTTGGCCAGATCTCGCAAGGTTTGTGTCATATTGGCTGATGGTCATGGGGCAACTGAAGCAGTGTTGGATTTGGATGCTTTATCAGGACTTACAGAAATTAGTTTGGGAACAACAGATGAGTCTGGGTTTCGGTATGTAACAAGGTTTGGGTTGTCAGTTAGATCAATCTCAAGTAAAATGCTTGTTCCATCACGGATTGTGACTTTTGTTCCGAGACATCTTGTAATCAATGAATCAGAAGAGACTATCAACATCCGCCAGCGCTATTTTCAGGTTCGTTTTGTGTACCTTATTTATTTATTTATTTATTTGATTTCCTCTCATGAACATGATTTATTTACTTTTTTTTCTATCGCTTTCTGTTTTATTGGGAAGGATGACTCTGTGGGCATAATCACCATCAAAAGCAAGCAGAGAGCAGCCTTGCGGTTGCAGGAAGAAACCACCCAGAAGAAAGAACTCCATCTGTTCGAAAACTTTATCAAAAAGCACGGAAGTGACAATGCAAATCCATTGATATTCATTCAGTTTCGGTTGAACAAAGCAAACTGGAGTTGGTCAGGCCCATTATGCATCACTTCAATTGGATGCTTTTTCCTTAAGTTCAGAAAGCAGTCAGGTGAAGCAGGCAGAGGCGCAATTGAATTTGCATCTGTTAATGTTACTGAAGAAGGTTCAACTCTTGCTGTGCACTTCCAAAAACCACCAAATACCCCACCACCATACCGAATTGAGAATTTCTTGCATTCTGCATCTCTCACGTACTACCAAAAGGTTGGTCAGCTCCTACTTACTGTCTTCGCTACATATGTGTTTAGGACTTTATGTGCATCATTTCACTGCTTGTTAGTTGTTAATTTTAGGATTCATCAGAGATTGAAGTACTTGGACCTGGAAGTGGGGCTGATTATACATGGGATGATATGACTCTTCCTCACAAGCTTGTAGTTATAGTAGATGGTAATAGTTGGCTTCCAACATTGTTCCTGCTTAGAAATCATCAACCTTCATAACGTTCTAGATTTACTGAGTTTATTGACCAAAAAGCTGGAAATTTGATTTTGCAGGCATGGTACCTCTGCGTGAAGTCAGCTTAGATAAGGTCCGTCCATGGAAACCCCTTTTCAAGGAAACTCAACACAGAAGCATAGCCTCACACTTAATGTTGAAAAAGAAGGCCAAAGATCATAAAACGGCTGACAAGGAATTGAGTAGCATACCTATGGTAAAGGTCGGATATGAGGTCTATGCAGATGGCCTGACTCGAGTCATTCGCATTTGTGAAGTTTCAGAAAGCCTTAAAGGAGACTCAGTATTTCAATCTCGTTCGAAAATTCAATTCCGAGTAACCCATTTAGGAATTCACTTACTTGAAAAAGTGAAGCAAGTAAGTCTGTCTTGTACTTCTCTCTTTTGGATCATCATACCTGTTTTCCTGCATTTGTTTGCGTGAACCCAGATTTTCATATGCCTCCTAGATTTGATTTTGTGTTAAAATGTTTATGTAGAATGCAGAGGAGAAAACTGTCATGTCTTATTCTCCGATCCTAGTGGCGAGACTTGACAATGTTGGTCTACATTCCATGTTCACGGACCAACAGAAATTTAACCAATTATGTATAGAGGTATACTTTTATGAGGTGCAATAGATTGGCTTGGTTTTCAGGGTTGCAGAAATAAGATATGAATTTTGTCTTTGGATACTGCAGGCTCTAAATGTGGATCACAAATGGGCAGGGGCACCCTTTGCAGCCATGCTTCGTCAGCATCAATCAAGTTCAAGTGACGCAAATGATTGTCTATTCAAATGTGTATTCGTTCTAGTATCAAGTGGTTCCAGTGTCACACAAGTCAAGCACTCTTCAATCGTTTTGCAGGTATCAGGCGGTTACTGTGTCACTCTTCCTGAAATTCTCCTTACCTTTTCTCTTCACACTGTCTAAATTAATGACTAGGGAAATTTAATAGCTCTTCAAGTACTGATTGTATTGGCATCTATGCCTGCTTATGCTACTGGATATAATATTCTAACGTCTTACGTTGCAGCCAGTCAATTTGAACCTAGATGAAGAGACTTTAATGAGAGTTGTGGCATTTTGGAGATCATCTCTCAGCACAAATACGCAAAGTAGTCAATATTATTTTGATCATTTTGAAATTCATCCAATAAAGGTTTGCTCTAACAATTGCTCTATTTACCTTCTTTTTCGATTTCTACTCTATGCTATGTTTAAAATACTACCTCTGTTTCTCTTTCTTTTTTTCTTCAATTAGATTACTGCTAATTTTGTTCCTGGGAGTTCATATTCGAGCTATAACTCAGCTCAAGAAACTCTGAGGTCATTACTGCATAGTGTGGTTAAGGTATGGGCATCTGAAATTTCATTTTATCTTCTTAAATTTTACTGTTTTGTGTATATTCACATGCACATCATTTTTTATGAGCAAATGCTTGTCTGGTACTTCGTTTTATGTAGGTTCCACATATAAAAAATATGGTTGTAGAGCTAAATGGTGTACTGGTCACTCATGCTTTGATAACGGTTCGCGAACTACTTCTCCGATGTGTAAAACATTACTCATGGTATCATCTTTTCCTTCTATGCCAGAAACTCCAAGTAAACTGCCCCTGTTTATAGATATTATTAACTTGCATAAGTGCTCCCTAGGTATGCAATGAGAGCAATCTACATTGCAAAGGGCAGTCCGTTGCTTCCTCCAGCTTTCGCATCCATGTTTGATGATTTTTCATCGTCCTCTCTTGATGCCTTTTTTGATCCTTCTCGAGGCCTGGTGAACGTCCCTGGTTTGACAGTGGGTAAGCGATGAGCATTCGTGGTTTCGATACCTTCAATTTTGGCTTCCATATGCACTAAATCTCAGTTAAGGGGAAATATAATTTGCTTATATCTGTTGTAGGCACCTTCAAACTCCTCAGCAAACTTATTGACAACAAAGGATTGTCAGGGACAAGACGTTACTTTGGTGATCTTGGGAAAACTGTAAGTATCAAATAGTACATGACTCGTGAATTTCCTAGTTTTTTTCATTCGACCTCGTATGCAAATACCATATTGCAGCTAAGAACAGCAGGATCCAATGTCGTCTTTGTTGCTCTCACTGAAATCTCCGACTCTGTTCTGAGGGGTGCAGAAATGAAAGGTGTTGATGGACTGGTGAGGACTCATCTACTTATAATCGTTAGGTTGAATTCAATTACCACTATGGTCTTTCTTATAATCTCTTTCTCGTCTCTCAGGTTAGCGGTTTCCACCATGGAATCCTTAAACTGGCAATGGAACCGTCTGTGATAGGAACAGCTTTGATGGAAGGTGGACCTGATAGAACAATTAAGCTTGATCGTAATCCCGGTATTGATGAGGTGATATTTCACGCCTCGTCTTATACTTTCAATTTTAAATATTTTCATTTTTATAGAGTAAAAAAGAGGAACTGGGAAAATTCTATTCGTAGAGCTTTTTCTCATGTCCATCTACGTGTATGCTCAAATTTACTCCTTGCAGTTATACATCGAAGGGTACCTTCAAGCTATGTTGGATACAATGTATAGACAAGAATATCTCAGAGTCAAAGTCATTGACGATCAGGTAAACAATATTTCTCTAACATAGATTTGCTTTGCCATTCCAAAAAAAACACGTAAATCGATTCATAATGTCTCCAAAAGATGATTCATACCAACCCGAAATCACGAACTTCCTATTTCCCTTACTGACCAAACATATTTCACTTATAGGTTTTCCTGAAAAACCTCCCACCAAGCAATTCTCTCATAGACGAGATGATAGACCGTGTTAAAGATTTTCTCGAAAGCAGGGGTTTACTCAAAGGAGATCCCTCAAGCTCTCGTCCTCGTCGCCGTCTCCATGGAGACAAGGTTTAATTCCAATCCCTTTTATCTGCATAAGCACAAATTTGACTTGGGGGTGTTTTGGTTTCTAATAACTCCATTCCATTAGGATAAACTCTTTGTGTTTGATTTTGATGGACCCTGAGTCATGTGAATATATCTCTCATTATGATCAGGAATGGAGAATCGGACCAACGGTGATGACATTGTGTGAACATCTATTCGTCAGCTTTGCAATACGCATACTGAAACAGCACGCCACTAAGGTCATTACAGGTCTTAGGCCAAAGAAAGAAGAAGCAGAGGCCGAGACTAGTGACAGTGGTTCCAATACTGCAATGGTACCAGTAATTAGTGACAATAAGAAGAAGAAAATGAAGTTCATGTGGAAAGCTGGTATTGGGAACTTCGTTGCTTCAGGTATTGTAGCTTACATCGACGGACGTTTGTGCCGACAAATTCCCAATCCAATAGCTCGCCGGATCGTGAGTGGGTTTTTGTTAAGTTTTCTTGATAAAAGCAGTGAACAATAATCACTTCCTCTGTATATATATTCTTCTACAGTAGAACCATTACATAAAAGAAAAGTAATAAAGCTCCTTACGTTTTTCCTCTTCTCTTCATCAATCACGATTTATTCAACATAGGACGATGTGACCGATTTCGACGTCTTCTGCATCAGAAACCCAAAGGTGTGGTATATGGGGTTTTAAACTTGGCACCCAAGCAACACATGTAATTTGTTGATCAGAAGATTTTTTTTTTTTTTTAATTAAATTTATTTGGTTTTTCAAATATCAAATAAACTGACGTCATTAAACAAAAAAAAAATGCTATTTCCTTTTTCCGAAATACAATTCCATCAAAATTGGAAACTTTGCTCTATATAATCAACGAGGTAGTCTCATCTCCCACATTATTCATCAATCTCCCTCTTTTATCTTTCTCTCTCTAGTTTCTTAAGTACTTTTCCCTGCGTTGTTTTTTCTCTCTCAAACAATGGCTGTTTCAGACGATCTCCCACCACCATGTGTGAACGATCATGTGAAGAGAAGAAGCAGAAAAAGAAGAACAATAAAAAAGAAGCAACTTGAAGAATTGATTAGCACCGCCGTAAGAGCCGCTCATGTTGCAAGAGACAAAGGGTTTTACATAGTCTCTCCGGAAGCCATACAATGCGTTGAGATCCTTAGACATATGCGAAGCTTACCTCTTAACGCTCGTCTTATTACCAAAACCGACGGTTTACGTATTCTTCTATTTCTCTCTAAGAACGGTAACCCTAAAATCAGGTCTGAGTCAAAAGCCGTCATTGATCACTGGAAGGGCATTCTCCAAAAAAAAGTTCATTAATGGAAGAGAGAGATTCACGAGGACTACGAAGATTTCATCATCAACCGGAGAGTATAGGGTTAGGGTTTTACTTTGTGAAAAGTCTTAACAAATTTGTAAGAAACTAATATCTTTTTGATTCTAATTTCGAAGTTTTACATATGTTTCTAATAATTGAAAGCAGAAGATGGGGTTATATGGATTAAATTGAGACTTATGGGGTAATAAAGAGATGATTGATTAATACAGGGGTCAAAAACATAAAAAGAGTAAAACTTGTCCTGGTTTATCTCTCGTGCCTCAGCTTTGGTTTTTTTCTTTTTTTTTTGCTTTGTATAATTTTTTGTTTTTTGTTTTTTTTTTTTTGGTTTTATCTCCGACAAAGAGGCAGTGAGTAGGGGTAGGGCTTTCCTTTTTTTTTTCCGACGATTCGTTCCCTCGCGCTTCGTCGTCTGACATCAGCGCACGTTAGCCACCGTCGTCGATATCATACACCCACCACCGCCGGAGGTAATCTTACGCTTCCCACACGCCGTTTCGAGCTGATTTCAAACCCTAATTCGTCGATTTTTCCATCACTTTGGATATTTTCCTTAGCTTCTGCGTTTGTTTGACGCTCAAGGATCGAATCTGGAATTGATTGTTTAATTTTGTTGTTTTGATTCAGGGGAGATAGATTCGTGTATTGATTCCAATTTTGATCAATTCGTCACTGTAGTAGATCTGAGGCAAATAGAGTGTGGACGAATTTGACTGGGAGAACCAGATCTAGGTTTAGGGTTTGATGCGTTGGCGATGTTCAGTGATCGGCGAAAGCGGGATATGGCTAATCATGGAGATGGAAACAAGTACGCGTCTGTGAATCTGAATAAGTCTTATGGATATCAATCTCATCATCAGTATAATCAATCTGGAGGTTATGGGCGGGGGAGAGGAGGTGGTGGATATGGCGGTGGTGGTGGTGGTGGAGGAGGAAGTATGGTTGTCCTTTCACGGCCAAGAAGCTCGCAAAATGCTGGGCAGAAGCTATCTGTTCCACCCCCCTTGAACCTTCCTTCACTCCGTAAGGAGCATGAGCGTGTTGATTCGTCTGGTTCGAGCTTTCATTCCGGTGGAGGAATCGCTGGGAGTGGAACGAGACCTGCTTCATCTGGTATGGGGTGGAGTAAGCCTGCTGCTACAGCTACTGATGGTGATATTGCTAACCATACTGCTGAAGGTGTTACCAGGGGGAGTAATGGGTTGAATACGTCTCTTGCTTCTCGGGTTGGTGCAACCGAGCCTATGGAACGGGCTTTTCATCATGTAGAGAAAGTTGCAACTTTGAGGGGTGAAGATTTTCCGTCTCTTAAGGCTTCTTTGCCATCAGCTTCTGTGTCTGGGCAGAAACAGAAGGAGGGTTTGAATCAGAAGCAGAAGCAAACTGCAGGTGAAGATTTTTCAAAAGAGCCGAGAGGTGTCTCTGGTGTGAGCAGTTCACTTGTAGATATGAGACCTCAAAATCAGTCTGGGCATAGCCGGCTCGGCAATGAGCTCAGTGAGAGTCCTAGTTTCTCAGATGGATTACATTCATCTGAACAGTTGAGGAAAAAGGAGTATTTTCCAGGGCCACTGCCTCTTGTTCGTTTGGCCCCACGATCCGATTGGGCTGATGATGAGCGTGACACTAGTCATGGCTTAAGAGATCGGGACAGGGATCATGGCTATTCAAAGAATGAACCATTTTGGGATAGGGGTTTTGATCATCCGAGGCCTCATGTCCTGCCCCAGAAGCATGCTGCTCCTAGTCTTTTTGATAAACCAGGACAGCGTGAAAATGAAATTGCAAAGTCCTCTTTGACTCAAGTAAGACCACTAAGTGGAGGAGGAAGGGAGGCCAACGCTTGGAGAGTCTCCCCACCACTCCAAAATGAAGGTGCAAATAATAATAAAAATGTTTATGGAGCAAGGCCGTCTAGTCGGGGCAGAGAAACTACTAAGAAAAGTAATTACGTCTTGTCATCATCAAGGGAGAATGTTTGGAATAATAGTGGAGCTAGAGAGGCTCCATATCAGCATGGAGGAAGACAGCCATGGAGTAATAATATGGATAGTTCCAGCAACAGGGGAACTTATAATCGGGATGGGTATGGAATTGAACATCAGAATAGGTACGGAACTAACTCTTTCCAGTATGGCAACTATTTGTGACAATATTTTTTTTAAGTAATTATCTCAATATGAACTTCTTACAGGGATAAACGCCCATTCTTCAAGAGTGACAAACCTCATGTGGAAGATCCTTTTATGAAAGACTTTGGTGACTCTGGTTTTGATGTCCATGATCCATTCCCAGTACTTGGTGTTGCTAAGAAGAAGAAAGAGGCTTTAAAGCAAACAGAGTTTCACGATCCTGTCAGGGAATCATTTGAGGCTGAACTTGAGCGAGTTCAAAAGATGCAGGAAGAGGAACGCCGGCGGATCATCGAGGAACATGAAAGGGTGATAGAACTAGCTCGAACAGAAGAAGAAGAGCGACTACGGCTGGCTCGCGAACAAGATGAGCGGCAGAGAAGATTAGAAGAAGAGGCCAGAGAAGCTGCTTTCAGAAACGAGCAGGAGAGACTAGAGGCTACAAGGAGGGCAGAAGAGTTGAGAAAGTCAAAAGAAGAGGAGAAACATAGGTTGTTCATGGAAGAAGAAAGGAGGAAGCAGGCTGCTAAGCAAAAGCTTCTAGAATTGGAAGAAAAGATTTCCAGAAGACAGGCTGAAGCTGCCAAAGGTTGCAGCAGCTCTTCAACTATTTCAGAGGATAAATTCTTAGATATTGTTAAAGAAAAAGAGTCTGCAGATGTTGTTGACTGGGAAGACAGCGAAAGAATGGTGGATAGAATTACTACCTCATCAACTTTAGATCTATCAGTACCCATTAGATCATTTGAGAGCAGTGCCACGTCTCAATTTTCTAGAGATGGTTCTTTTGGGTTCCCTGATAGACAAAAGCCTACTTGGAGAAAGGAAGATATTGAGAGTGGAAGCAATTCGAGGTTTATTCCACAAAATATGGAGAATGTTCCACATAGCCCGCAGGAAGAATTCTTTGGGACAGCTGGATATCTTAGTGCCCCTTCCTACTTCAAACCAGGGTTCCCAGAGCATTCAGTTGATCAGAGTTGGAGAATTCCTGGAGATGGAAGGACCCATGGTAGGAACTATGGAATGGAATCTGAATCTCGTGAAAATTTTGGAGAGCAATATGGTGATCCTGGATGGGGACAAAACCAGGGCCGTCCACGGCATGGTCCATATTCTCCTTATCCTGAAAAGTTGTATCAGAATCCCGAGGGGGATGACTATTACCCTTTTGGGAGACCAAGGTATTCAGTTAGGCAGCCGCGTGTTCTTCCCCCTCCCCAGGAGTCTAGGCAAAAGGCATCCTTTAGAAGCGGGGTTGAGCATCCTGGTCCCTCAACTTCTATTGGAGGGATTAACTACAGCCATAAAGGTAGGACTAATTCGACTGTTCTAGCCAATTATATAGAGGATCTTCAAGATCATCATGTGCTGCCCGGAAGTGGTATTGATGAACATCATCGGTTCGATAGCAAGCTGACTGGAAGATGTGACTCTCAATCTTCACTTTCCGTTACTAGCCCACCTGATTCCCCTGTTCATCTCTCTCATGATGACTTGGATGAATCAGCAGATTTATCTGTCTTAGCTGCTTCCAGAATGGGAGAAGATGCTGGTTTATTAGAGAAGGGGGGAGCACCAATTATCTCTAGTGATACTGGAAAGGATAGTTTGATGATTGCTACAGGCTCTGTGTCTTGCTGGGATAATGAAGAATGGACTCTTGACAGTAATGAACGGTTGCAGGAACAAGAAGAATACGACGAAGATGAAGATGGATACCAGGAGGAGGATAAAATACACGGGGTTGATGAGAACATAGATCTCGCCCAAGAGTTAGAAGAAATGCATCTCGAGGATAAAGACTCTAATCTAGTCTTAGGATTTAATGAAGGAGTGGAGGTTGAAATTCCCAGCGATGACTTTGAAAAATGTCAACGGAACTCCGAAGCTACATTTCCACTTCATCAGCATACTATCGATTCTTTAGATGATGAAAGACCTTCTATTGAGACAAGCCTTGGTGAACAAGCCGCCCAACCTGCTGATGTTTCTGATCCGTTGAGCATGCATAATGCATCTAGGAGTTTCCAGGCTGCTGAAACCACGATGCAGAATATGACAATTCACCCAAATAGTGGTCGTCAGTCATTTGAGGTGGGCAATAAAGTAGACTCCACAAGTAACTCTACCGTTTCTACTCATCCTGTCATACCACCTCACAGCACGGGTCTGCATCCATCTCTTCAGACAGCGATTCCTCCTGTATCTACTTCAGCACATATGGAGGAGCCTGTTAAGTTTCAGTTTGGTTTGTTTTCTGGTCCTTCGCTGATACCTTCTCCTTTCCCTGCCATACAGATTGGTTCCATCCAAATGCCTCTTCCTCTTCATCCTCAATTTGGTTCCTCGCTTACCCATATCCAACAGCCCCAATCTCCTCTCATTCAGTTTGGTCAACTACGATATACATCCCCAATATCCCAAGGGGTGCTGCCACCGCCACATCATTCAGTTGTCCAAGCGAATGGTTTACCAACTTATGCTTTGAATCAGAATCCTGGATCCTCGGTGACTGTTGGTCAAGGAAATTCGGCTAACCTGCTTGCTAGAAACGCAGCAACCTCTGTCTCACACCCTCAGCTTAGTGTTCTTAGAAGACCAACGAATGTTTCTGATGGGGGCACACTGAAGAATGCTAATCTACCTCCAGCGAGAGCAAGCATTGAGGCTGCTGTGTCACCTCAAAAGCAACCAGAGTTGTCTGGTAATTCGCTATTACCTTCTCGAAAGATGAGTCATGGAAAATCAAATTTTGTTGAAAGACAATCAGGATACCAAGTCCAAACTGACACAAATGCAGTTAGAAATTCTGGCTTGCGCTCATCAGGTACTGCTGAGGTTTCTCGGGTAGATTCTGGTGGTAATAGAAGATATCGGCGTCAGAGGGTTGAATTTAGAGTTCGGGAATCAAACTGGCCATCTTCCGAGGAGAATCGAAATGGCAATGGAAGGGCACAAAATTCTACAAAAAATGGGAGTAGAAAATATGTTGTGTCCAACAAGTCCCAGAAACAACCCTTAGACAACTCAGCGTCTGGTTTGAATGCTATGCAGAAAACAGTTAGTGGGGGTTCATTTGAGAATAGACTTGGGAAAGAGGCTGTCGTGAAGAATCCACTCAGTCCAAATTCTGGACAAGCAAACCTTAAAAGGAATATGATATCTGATAAGGAAATTGATGCACCTTTGCAGAGTGGAATTGTTCGTGTCTTTGAGCAACATGGTATTGAAGTTCCTAGTGACGATGATGATTTTATTGAGGTAAGATCAAAAAGGCAAATGCTTAATGATCGCCGTGAACAGAGAGAAAAGGAAATTAAAGAGAAGTCTCAGGCAGCCAAGGTCCTGATGCAGCAATCTAAAACCTTTAGTGTTCTACTTGTGAATTGTTACCTAGTCAGAGGTAGTTCTCACTAAAAGTGAATTTGTTTTCTTGTAGGCATTACGAAAACCTCGTTCAACTTTCCAGAACAGTACTACTGCAGCCAGGTCCAACAGAAGCCCACCAGCTAGCCGAGTTGCGAACAATAAGCAGTTTAACCCCGTTTCCAACAGACAGACGTTAGCCCCAATTGGCACACCTTCCCCTAAAACAGATTCCCATGCTGATGAAAAATCTGGGAGCAACAAGTACATTCCTCTATTTGATCAATTGAAATGCTTCAAGTGTGTCTGCAGAGATAGCTCCCCTCTGTTTATGTTTTTTTACCTTCTATTTCATTTTGCAGGTCCACTCAGGCAAGTATTGCTCTTCCAGTTATACCCAAAAATGATCAGAATCCAGCTTCAGGTTTTGTATTCAGCAACAAAAATAAGGTTCTGGATAACAGTCATACACCTGTGGGGACTTGGGGTAACCAACTCACCTATCAGCCGGTGAGTAAATATTGTTCAAGGTTTCATTAACTTGTTTTGACGTGGGTTCATGTTTCTGCAAAAATTGGAAACAGACTTCCAACAAAAAATGTTTCTGCAAAATTCTTGCTTACCTTTCTCGTGTCATCTAAAACGGTTGTGTTCCATGCCGCATCTCATACTCTCTTTTTATAAGTTGATAGAATGGTTTAAAATAAGACAGAGAAAGTCATAGTCGATAAAAATCAAAATTGTTTTATGACTCATGTTCTACTAGTCACAGATTACGCCTATGCAAATATCTGAAGCCTTTTGGTATTACCTTGTAGGTTATGGCCCTAACCCAGAGTCAGCTTGATGAAGCCATGAAACCTGTATCTCTTCTTTCATGTGTTTCTGTTGAGAATGGTGCTAACCGAATTAGCGAGGCAAATTCGACATCAACGTCTGTTGTGCCAAAGAACAATACTTTTTCAAGCAGCACAAGTCCAATAAATTCATTGCTTGCCGAGGGCAAAATTCAATTTGGTGAGCTGATGGACTAGATACCTCGATTGTCACTTTGAAGTGGCTCGTCTTTGCATTTAAATGATGCATCTTTTCTTCTCTATTAGGTGCAGTTACATCTTCCACTGTTATCCCTCCATGTGGTGGGCGTACGGAGAACGATAGCTCTTTATATTTTGAAAAAGATAATAAACATCGAAATCCATCATCCACTGGCATGGAGATTTGCGAAGCAGAAGCAGAAGCTGCTGCTTCAGCTATAGCTGTGGCAGCCATAACTAATGATGAAACCGGTGGGAATGCCTTGAGTACTGGCTCTGTATTACCTGTTGAAACCAAAATTTATGGAGGAACAGAGTTAGATGATGGGGCAGCAAGTGGTAATATTTGCTTTCTGTCGGGTTTATGCATTCCCAAATGGTTGTTTGTTGTCTGAATTAATTTCTTTTGCTTTGGCAGGTGCTGTTGGTGGGCAGCCTAGTCTATCAAAAGCTGAGGAGTCTCTCATTGTTTCTCTCCCAGCAGATCTTTCAGTGGACACCCCAATCTCTGTGTGGCCACAATTACCAAGTCCACACAACTCAAACCAAATGATCACTCACTTCCCTCCTGGCCCTCCTCATTACCCTTTCTATGATGTGAACCCCATGTTAAGAGGACCCATCTTTGCTTTTGGCCCGCACCATGACGCAGGAGCAACCCAATCACAGTCCCAGAAAGGTCCAGTAACAGTTTCTGGTCCACCTACAACCTGGCAGCAGCAGAATCATCCTGGAGTAGATTCCTTCTATGCCCCTCCTGCCGGTTTCACGGGTCCTTTCCTAACCCCACCCGGTGCTATTCCTGGCGTTCAGGGTCCTCCTCACATGTTCGTTTATAACCACTTTGCACCTGTTGGACAGTTTGGAGGGTTGAGTTTCATGGGAACAACTTACATCCCATCTGGAAAACAACCAGATTGGAAGCACAACCCAAACGTGTCTTCTTCTCCGGTTGGAGGAGATGGTGATGTAAACAATCCAAATGTGGCTTCCATGCAATGTAACATTGTACCTGCGTCTCTTCAGCACCTTCCTATGCCAATGTTTGATCCATCCCCTTTCCAGGTATTTGATCCCATCATTATGATTTCCAACAATCCTTAGAAGTAGAAGAATCCATCGACTTCATATTTATTATATGGTGTGGGTCAGTCTTCTTCTCAGGAGATGCCTGTTCGAGCACGGTGGCCTTACATGCCGTTTTCGGGTCCTCCAACGATGCAAATGCAGAAACAGCAGGAAGCAACAGATGGCTCCAATCTTCCATCACCTCAGTTTAACAACAACATGCTTCCTCCTCCTCCTCCTAACAGATATCCCAACGTTCAAGCATCTACAGTTGTAGATGCAATGGTAGACTCCTCAAACGCTTACAGTTCCACCACTTGTGCTCCACCAGCAAAGCCCACCACCACCTTATCCGATCCCAACAGCAACAACATTCAGAATCCAAATGGTCCTGGCTTCAAGCCACCACAACAACAACAACAACAACAACAACAATCTTCTCAGGAGAAGAACTCGCAGTCTCAGCATGTTGGTGGGTCCAGCCACCACCACCAACACCAGCACCAGCAAAACCGGAGATCAGGCTACCATGGAAGAAACCCACCGATGGCCAGAGAGAGAGGCTTTCCGAATAACCCAAAGGTCAAGCAAATCTATGTGGCTAAGCAGACTGGTAACAGCAATGCCTCTGCTTCCTCCACCACCACCACCACTTCCCCCTCAATTTGATGATTCTTCACCATCCAGGTCCGTTCAGATATAAACTTTCCAATAACCCAACCAGCTTTGGCTTCATAAGAAGATCTGGTTTTTTTTTTTTTTCTTTCAATTTTCCCATATATCAATTAGCTTCTTTTTTTTATACCTTTTTATTCTCATTAGATAATTAGATTTTGTCTCTTCTTTACTCGTTTGGGGGTTCATTATATGGGGACTTTGGTATGATTAGTTTTATTATATGGTTGGTGAAAATATTGGCGTGAGGTTTTCGGTGTAGAATACCCAATTCACGGCTCCAATGTATCTGTTGTCAACATTATCTTTATCTTCTATAAATCAGCAACTCTTATTGAATTAATTCTTTTATGTTTTACTTCTATTTTGTGTCAAAACCCTTGTGCAATGAATCGACAGCTTTAACGCAACAGGTTCCAATCTTGAGGACTTATGAAGTAACCAATGCGAGCTCTTAAGTTTTTCAACAGGAGACTCATCAACTCACTAACACTACGAAAATTTGCCAAAAAATATTTTATATATCTTATAATGATACAAAGACTGACCAAGACTTGCCATTTAAGATGTGCTATAGATTAAAACAGTGAAAAGTGTATCTTGAGTAATAATACAGATAAATTATGCATCAGTTCAATAACTATAACAGAGCTCATCAATATCGTTAAGAACAACAACCTTTCTAGTTACCACCATAAGCTGTTCTCCTCATCATCCTCATGAATTCATCCATGTTAACTTCACCATCACCTGTAATAGTGGATCATCATATTCTTAATCAAACCAAACATTGCCACAAGAGAGACAGAAAAATTGTTGGAAACTTACGGTCCCGGTCTGCTTCTTCAACCATCTCTAGTATCTCAGCATCAGTAAAATTCTCACCCAAGTCCTTTGCCATGCGTTTGATATCATCCGGAGATATCTTCCCCTGAAAATTTAGGAGAAAAAGGTTAATTTCTAGAAAAATTAAGATCATATGAAAGTTAGTAACTAAGTTTTTGAGTTAATACATTTTTGTCAAGATCAATGATCTGGAATGCTTTGGTGAGCTCTTCTTTTGTGTCTCTTTCACCAATCTTAGCAGTCATCATATGAACAAACTCATCAAAATCTATCGCTCCACTTCCATCTTTGTCCACATCAGCTATCATTTTGTTGATTTGCTTCAATACCAAACACATCAAAGTATCAAAACAGTAATAATAAAAGCCGAATCTTACCGGAAAAAAAAACGAAATCGAAACAAATAGTAATACCTCTTCCGTCATTTCAAAACCAAGCGCCCTATCACAAATCATAAATTCAAGAATCAATTCCAAAATCATAAAACAAAAGAAAAAAAAAAACACAAAACTCTCAAAATTACCTCATAGCAACATTAAGCTCTTTAGCATCAATGGTACCAGAACCATCAGTGTCAAATAGCTCAAAAGCTTCCTTAATCTCTTGCTTCTTCTGCGTCGTCAATCCATGATGACGTCTCGGTTTCTCTTTCCTCGATACACCTCTGTTGAAACTTGACTGCAGTAATAACATTAAATTCCAATTTCTTCAACGTATCAAACATAAGACGTTTGTCCAAAAAAAAAAAAAAAAAAAACCAAACATAAAAACAGCTTATATTACTTACAAACAAAATCTCAGCTCTAACACGACAAGGGTTTCTAAGGGAATCTAACCAAGTGTAAGAAAATAGATCACTTTTTTCGACCTAATATCTTCAATCATAGAACCCTAATTTCTTCATCCTAACATTCTCTAAAATACAAATCAGATCTTAAAAACCCATAAATGCAAAATTGATAACTAGAGATCCTAAGAAATTGCTAAACGCTGCAAATAAAAAGAAAGACAAAATCAAAAGTTACGAACGAACCATATCTTCTACGAATCCTCCAGATCGATATCGATAAAGCTCTTTCAGTTTGCGCGTCGAATTCCAGAAATCTAACGTTTCTGCTTTCCATTGTTGGTTTCATACTAAAAAGCAGTAACGGAATGGGCCAGATGGGCCTAATAATGAAGGCCCATTACTAACACGTGTTTTATTGATGATTGTGAGGAGGCATGGGCGTTCGGTTCCTCGGTTCCATTGGGTTCGGTTTCATTCGGTTTTCGGTTCTTCGATTCCAACTCCTTAGGATCTATAAGGAAACTGAAAAAAATTTGGTTCGGTTTGGTTACTTGTCGGTTCTGTTCGGATACTTAGAAAGAGAACCGATAAATAACCAAAGTCCAATGGATATCGATTCGGTTTGGTTCAGTTCCGGTTATTTCACCTAAAATACCCAAAAAAACCGAAATATCAAAAAAAAAAGAACCGAAACACTCCAATATTTTAAACTTTTTTTGAAAAAATGGTAATAGACCAAAATATATTTTGTTAAAATATCAAAAAATTAACAAAAATCTATTGGGTTAGAGGTTGGGACAAAATGTATTGGGCTTAGATGTAGGTTTGTAGAGGATTGACCAAATATTTTCTGTTCCATTTGAGTACCCATGGATATTCGGTTCGGTTTGGTTATTACCAATGGATAGTGGGACTGAGATCCATTCAGGTATTTAGTAGTATTCATAACCGAACCAAAACTCTTTTTCGGTTTGGTTCGGTTCTTTGGATCCAATTTTTATGTCCATGCCTAATTTTGTGTTACACATAAAACACATCGAAGATGTGAATCATATATTTTTAGCCGAGAAACGAATTTGCTAAAAAAATCAGTCAACTTATTAATCAATTTACTTATTATATAACACATCAGTACTACTTACCAATCATAATTTTTTTTTTTAAATACATACAATCAAAATGTTATTTCTACAATAAGTTTATTTAAATAATAATATTGTATAAATAAAACTTACAACCTAATTTCCACAATAATAAACTTACAGCTACAGTCATCATATCTACGTAAGAAATTCTAGAGCAATAAATCTAGAGCTTCAAACGTAATTGGTCTAAAGAAAAACGAAATAAGGTTTATCCTACCGCTATTGATTTAGTTGAGCCCATCTAAAAGCTCAATGGACTCTTCTACAAAGTAAAAAAAAATCAAAAAACAGAAGTTGGCTTCGCCCGGGTTCGAACCGGAGACCTTCAGTGTGTTAGACTGACGTGATAACCAACTACACCACGAAACCTTTGTTGTTACTACGGATGTTATCTTGGACATAGAACCCCATTTAATAAATGGGTATGTACAAAAAATTAAGAGAAATTGTTAAAAATGCCCCTTTTTCAATACTCCTTTTCAAAAATGCCCCTTTTGAGAGTCCATTTTTAAGTTTGCCCTCTTTTAATTTTTAATGACCATTTTACCCTTATTTGAAACAAAATTAGGTCCACAAAATACAAAATATTTTTTGGCGGGAAAAGTGATCCCGCAATTTTCCCGCCAAAACACTTGTAAAAACCTTTAAAATACCTTGTAAAATTTTCCCGTAAAAATTTTTCCCGCCAAATATTTTTTTTTGCGGGAAAAGTGATTCCGCAATTTTTTTGCCGAAATTTTTTTGGCGGGAAAAATTTACAAGTTATTTTAAAGGTTTTACGGAGTATTTACAAGTGTTTTGTAATGTTTTACAATGTATTTTAAAAGGGTTTACAAGGTACTTATAAGGTTTTATAAGGTATTTATAACTTGTAAAACCTTATAAAAAACTTGTAAAACCTTATAATTTGTAAAACCTTATAAAATAGCTTGTAAAATCTTATAATATCTTATAAATACTTTATAAATACGTTGTAAAACCTTTTAAAATACATTGTAAAACCTTATAAATACCCTGTAAAAAACCCTTTAAAATACCTTGTAAATTTTTCCCGCCAAAAATTTAACGCCAAAAAATTTGCGGAATCACTTTTCCCGCAAAAAAAATTTTTTGGCGGGAAAAAATTTTACGGGAAAATTTTACAAGGTATTTTAAAGGTTTTACAAATTTTTACAAGTGTTTTGGCGGGAAAAATTAGGGGATCACTTTTCCCGCCAAAAAATATTTTGTATTTTGTGGACCTAATTTTGTTATATTTCCTTATATATTTATGATATCTTTTATTAAAAGAAGGGTAATTTAGTCATTTTGTACATAAAAGGGGTATTTTTAAAAATGGACATCCAAAGGGGGCATTTTTGAAAAGGGGTATTGAAAAAGGGGCATTTTTGTGAGTCTCCCAAAAATTAATCCATTTAGACCCATTTAGACCCATTTAAGGAAAAATATTAAATAGGGTTAAATGGGTTATCCCAATTAAACTTATTTATTAAATAGGGTTTCACACAAATAAATAGGTACCCATTTAAGTATGGGAAAAATGTCGTTAAAATCCCCAACTTATTCAAAACGTTGATTTAAATCCTCAACTCATGACGAAACGAAATAAATATCAAACTTATGTTGACTTTCCAAATAAATATTAAACTTATGTTGACTTTCCAAATAAACACCAAACTTTTATTGACTTTCCAAATAAATATCAAACTTCCGTTGACCTGACCATATTAGGTACGACGTTAAGTGGGTTAATAAATCCTCAACTCATAACAAAACGAAATAAATATCAAACTTATGTTGACTTTCCAAATAAATATCAAACTTATGTTGACTTTCCAAATAAATATCAAATTTCCGTTGACCTAGCCATATTAGGTACGACGTTAAGTGGGTTAATAGATCTCGTTAACGGAGGTAATTTTCTGTTAACATATGTGTTAATTGATAACGACATTGTTTCATATAACAACAAAACGACGTCATTTTGTCGTAACGATTGAATTAAATCCCTAAAGTCAATCTTAGATCCCCAAATCGAGTAAAATCCCTAACCCTAAATAGAGTATGATTTGAAACTTGGGATTTTATTGAACAGTTATGACAAAACAACGTCGTTTTGTGTTTAGAAGGAATACTTGTTAGTATTTTGATCAACACTAACAGGTGTTAACATTGTTTGTTAACTCACTTAACGTCATGCCTAATATGGCCAAGTCAATGAAAGTTTGGTGTTTATTTGGAAAGTCAACATAAGTTTAATATTTATTTGGAAAGTCAACATAAGTTTGATATTTATTTCGTTTCGTCGTGAGTTGAGGATTTAAATCAACGTTTTGAATAAGTTGGGGATTTTAATGACATTTTTCCCATTTAAGTATATTTATGTTTTATTTTATATTAGTTATTTTTATTAAAACTGTTAATATCTTAATAACTAAAATAAAAAAGCAAAATATTAAATATATTTAAAACTAATATTCTACTTAAATTTAATTTTTGATTTAAATATTTAAAACAAAGCGTAAAACCATGTCTCTTACAATATGGTTATGCGATTTTGGCGGGAAAACGCGGATTTACAATTTTGGCGGAAAAACTTCATTATACGGTATGATATTTTTTTGCTATAAAACGCAATTTTGCGATTATGGCGGGAAAACACGGGTTTACAGTTTTGGTGGGAAACGCGAGTTTACGGTTTTGGCGGAAAAACGTGGATTTATGGTTTTGGCGAGAAAAATGCGGGTTTGCGGTTTTGGTGGGAAAATGCGGGTTTGCGGTTTTCTCGGGAAAATGCGGGTTTACGGTTTTGGAAGCTAGTCGATGACAGACTCTTCACATGGGCGGCGGTTGGGCTCACAATCGCTATCGTAGTTCTTCTCCTGAAGAAGTTCATAAGATCAAGTGGTTATGGTGCTGGGTTTGTGGATCAGTCTTGAACTCTGATGAACATACGTCGATCCAAACCAAACCAGATGGTAATAGTCAAAGTTGATCGATGAAGCTAAGGAACGTCAACGCTGCTATTGGGAAATGGGGTTTCGTTGTTTAATACTCCCTCTGTTTTAGTTTAGTTGTCGTTTTAGAATTTAAATTTTGTTTCATAATAGTTGTCTTTTAGGTTTTCAATGCAAATAATTTGTAAAAATTCCAGTTTTATCCCTATTGTTTTAATGTTTTGACTAATGAAAAAATTATAAAATATCTTAATAAAGGGTAAAACATAACATTTAATGGTTTTCTTAATTTGTGTGAGAAAACCTTAAACGACAACTAAAACAAAACGGAGAGAGTATTTATAAATATGATTAAAGTGCATAATGGGATTGTGTGTGACATTGTCTTGATAGATTCTATAGCGTGTGGCGAAGTTAACAATATGTATTTTGGAAGTAAACACTGACGACCTTTTATCAATACACTGATGCTTTTGTTAATAGAAGTTGATTACCTCCAATATGTTCTTAACTATTTCTCATTTTGAGTACATGATGTCTTAAATGTTTTTATGTGTTGAGACTTGAGATAAGCATCAAGTTTCCAAATTTTTCAAAACCAATAGATTTCATGGTCAAGATTCACAAGTTTAACAATATAAGAAGTGTTGATCATATATGCATACACATGTAGTGAGTCCTTTGATGTATATTTGTGTGTATTTTCATTATAAATTACAGAGACCGAATAATTTGGTGTATTTTCTTCATAAATCAGACACATTAATTTGGTGTGATAGACAATATGTGATCTCATCTTGTACCATAGTTTTTCACTTTTCAGTTTAGAAAAAGTTATCAACTTTGACCTTTGACTGTTATATAACGTTAAAAAAAAAAAGAGAAAAAGTTACCGAAGGTTCAAATTTAATAAATGAAGTTGATCGTATAATATAAATACGAATTTGATAACAAGACACAAAAGAAACAATCTTTAGGTTCTCTGTGTTTGAAAAGTTAAAATCTTGTTAGCTTTGTTAAATGGTAGAATCTTTTGGTTTTCTTTGTTAAATGAAAGCTTGAATCTGTTAAATTTCTGAATCTTTACTTTCTCCATGCCTGAAACGTTGAATCTGTTGTTTCTATGGTGTTTTGTGGATCTCAACGGTTGAATCTTTAGGTTCATGGAAGGTGCTTTGCTTGGTGAGGGAGAATCAGACAACCTTCTCAGGTGGATATTCTAAATTGGCAAGAGAGTATCCTTTAATGGTTGGTGACAAATGCACCTTCAAGCTCATCAAACCCTTAGAGTTCGTCCTTCTTACCTCCAAGAAGACCAGAGAGGACATCGATCACTACATGATCGATTGAGGAATAAATGTTAAGTGTCTTGTGCTTTCTTATCTATGGAGACATTTGTTCTGTTTTGTGTCTTTGTTAATTTCCCTGAAACTCTTTAGCTTGTATTTTCTGTAGAAGTACTAATGTCCTGAACTTCGTTGTAAGATTATTATGCAAAAAACTATCTATGTTGTTACTTGTCAAGTTTAATTCGCCTTCTCTGCAAACATAGAAATAAAGGGACAATCATAATGCTAAAAAACACATTGACATTATTGGAGTTAGGTCCAAAACTCACAAGATTCTGTATTTATTAGAAGGTGAAGTGTTTTTTACCCATACAGAGGAACAATACTCCAGTCACACAACAGTTAACAATACAAATTTCGACCACAAACACAAATCATAGAATATACGATGGTTATTTAGAGTTCTGCGAGCAAACTCAGGTGTGAGCCTTGACAACGGTCACAGGGCATGCAACGTTGTTGACCACATGGTTGCTTACACTTCCCATAATCATCCTCTTAAGACCACCAAGGCCTCTGTACCCATCACAAGGCTTGAGAGAGGAATCTGTTCAGCTGCTGCACAAATCTTCTCACGAGGATCTCCCCAATATATCTTCATCACTACTGTAACCTGCCAAACACATGTTTCACAATAGTTGGATCATCGTTTAACACAAAATCAAACACTTGTTGTAAAGAAAGTCTCATTCATACGAATTAACAATGTTTAACTTAAAAAAAAATAAAAAAACAAAAAACAAAAAAAAAAAAACAATGTTTAACTTCTTAGTCATCTTTGTCACAACTAACAAGTAACATAAAGCTTGAATGAACTTCTGAATAACACTATGATAGGTGTAACATATTCTATTTTCAGTACTAGGTTATTTTAAATAATCAATTAAAATAATTATCTTATTATATAAAGTATGGTTTTCAAAGTTAATAACTCACATGATTGTGACATATGTCAAATCTATCGAACTTAGATTTTGTCATGTGTCAAATAAATATTTCATTTTTTATAATTAAAAAAGGAAAAAGATAATTATAAATTTATACAGTTTTAAATATAAAAAGATCACTATAAGGAAACTATAATATATTTTCAAAAAAGATTTTTCCATGTGGCAAATAAAAAATAGTTTTAACAAATTTATAAAATATGTATATTTTCCATAACAATAAAAATTAAAAAATTATGCTAAACGTTTTATTTATAAATTATTAACTGTACAAAAAAAAAATTAAAATTAGAAAAAAGATTGTAAATACTCACCTCTTTATAAACAAATAGATTGTCTCATATTTTCTCACCAAGCAAACTAATTTCTTCAGAACCACCACCATTTCTTTAACTTCATTTTATTAGTAAAGTTTTTCCTCTTTTTTTTGTCATAAATTATTTTTAGGATAATATTAGTAACTAACTTTTGACTAAAAAATAATTAAAGAAATAGTCATGAGTAGAAACTAACGTCTTTCAGCGATGTAATAGCCCTCAAACAAAAGACAAAACATACATGTAATTAGGATTTCAAAAACAAAAAATAAACACTAATAACACGAAATCTAAAAATAAAGAAAATCAATACTGGAATTTTAACGACGAAAGCGAGACATCCACCTAGAATCAGAGGAAAAAACAATGTCATTTAATAAAATAGCATATCATACTAAAAGAAATAGGAGTAACATGTGATTGTTAATGGAGGTGACGATGGTGGTGATTGATGGTGGTGGTTGATGGTTACGGATGTGGTGATAGATTGACTTTAAAAATAACATGAATCATGTAAATATTATTTATTATTTATTGGAAATATATCATGTCATTTATATATATTTACAGATGTGGTGATAGATTGACTTTAAATATAACATGAATCATGTTGTTGGAAAGAGACTCGGCTCGATGCCAGAGGAGAAAAAAAGAGGAGAAATAAGATCAGTTGAGAAAGAGGAGAAGAGGCGGTAATGGTGGTGTTGGTTATAAATAGGCCAACATTTATATTAGATTGTGCATTATGCATAATAAATCTATTTAAAAATAATTAAAATGCTACATTTTCTAAAATTAAAATATAGATGTTTATATAATTTTAGTTAAGCTTAAAAAAAATAAGTGATAATTTCGACCAGCAACCCGTGCAACGCACGGGCCCATATCTAGTTGATTTTTTTTTTGTCGTCTTGAATATTATTGCAAAAGGGAACAGAGTTGTATGAAAGAAAGAAACAGAGCATAAATCGAAAAACAAAGAACCCAAAACAGAGGCCGATGAGAAAACTAAAATCTACCTCGTCGTTCTTCTTCAATCCGGTTATGTAGCCATGTCGGACTTCCTCGTGCTAGGTAAGATGTAAACCGTCCCTCTCGTGTCACACTACAAGCAATCTCCTTGGCCAAAGAATTGGCTTTCGGTGAAGAGAGGCGAAACGTAACCTCCCACATCACCCGTATTACTTGTTGAATTTTGATAATCTGAGAACGGTATTTGGGGTACTCCTCCGATCGAGCTATTGCATCCAAAGTGGCTTTACAATCTGACCAGACTTCACAAGACTCGATACGCAACTCTTTCAAACTGCGGATGCACCAAAGAATGATATGTAATTCCGCAGCTATCCGGTTAACCATGGGAAGGAAAGCATCTCGGGCATGAAATAAGACATCTCCCAGGTGATTGCGTAGGATCCAAGCTCCACCAACATGATAAAAATCCTTGAGCCAAGAAGAATGTATGTTGCATTTAACCTTACCCGGAGCTGGCATAGTCCATCTTCTTTCCCCCGTCGCAATGTGATGAGAGCTGTACACACGGTCTTGCTGAGCTACTAAGTTCTGTTGTAACCATTCCTTGGCGTCTTCCAAAGCTGTTGCAACAACAAAATGAGGAGAAGTGGTTTTTGCAGCGTATAATGTAGAGTTACGGGCCTTCCAAATCTCCCAAAGGATCCATGGGATAGCCTCCCTCAGATTTGTGTCCAAGTCTGGCTGCGTCATTAAGTTCAGGAGGTGATCAATTTTCGCTGCAATGAAGTTCCCTGAGAGAGGCGGCCACAAAGGCAAATCTACAATGGTCCACACGTTCTGCGCTAAAGAATCTAGTTGATTATAATATATTTTTTAGAATAAAACAATGTTATATGAGTCTAAATAGATTTAAATGGGTAAAAAAAATTTTAATGGGTTTAAATGGGGAGGATAAATAAGGTTAAATAGGGTGAGTCTAAATGAGATAAATTTTAAATAGGATGTGTCTAAATGGGGTGGGTTAGCCCATATTAACATCTCTAGTTGTTACACATTCACTAATTGTTTTATTTATCTGAACTAATCAATAGTATATGCAAAATCACGTAAATTTATTTAGTCATTTATCAAGCTATATATTACCAACGAATATAATAGAAGCCACCACGATCATGGCCATGCTTGACAAAATTCAAAACAACAGAATCTAAGAATATACTTTTGCAAATTGTGTTCTGCTGCATTTAAAAAGTTTATATATCACATACTAACAGAAGATCAATCAAATCATGCATTATACAATAAACAATACACTTATAAACAAGTTGGGTCCAACATATGTTGGTATTTTACTATTGTGTGTGTAATATTACAATGCTGACTAGACTCCACCGACTGTTTGGCCGTCTCAATTTTACTTATCCCGGTCCGGGATTAACCTTTATCCCCACCACGTTTAACAGACGTTTAAATTAACGCCGTCAAATTTTCATCTCGGCGGCGATTGGTTCACGGTGCATGCCACCACTTTCGCCCACTGCTTCAGCTTCGTCTTCACCGTTTGCGGATCATCACCTATTCAAATAATTTATGATCAGTGAATTGTGTGTATATATATGTGTTATGTGTATAGGTTTATACATACTTGTTTGGTATACGGTGTGGTGAGGACTGGTATCGCCGTCGGAGAGTGAAGAAGACGACGTTGCTGACTTGTTAGAAACGGCGTCGTTGTAGCTTTTTTGAACGGCGAAGTAGAGTTCTAACGCGGGAAGCGTGTTGGAAAGTCTCGGATCGGCGATTTCGGGAGATCCGAAACCGAATCCGAGTTCAAAACTTGCTTTAAGCTCGTCGAGATCTTCGTCCGTCAAGCTCTTTCCACGGCGGCGATGACGGTGGCGGGAGATATCTTGACGTTTTGACCAAGCTTCTTCGCGGATTAGATCCGGAGACCACGAGTGTTGTTTCAGAAGTGAAGTAGAAGATAACGGCGGCGCGTGGAGACGACGCACTACCCCCGGCGAGGGGGTGTGCGGTGGTGGAAAGGTTTTACGATCAATGGCTGGTTTTTTGGTAAATATGTCGAAAATTTTGGTGGAAATTTTAGAGGGAAAGAGAAAGGTTAGTTGAAGATTAGTTATAAAGGAGTGGAGAGAGAGAGAGAGTGTTGCCGACTTTGTGATATTGGGCCGGCCCAAATCATGATGATGACCTGGATTTGGTTTTTATTGGTTCATTTTATTTTATTAAATTATGTAATGTACCTGGAATTACGAAGCAACACAAGTTGGCATTGCATATAAATAAAAAGGGTTTTTAGTAATAAAACCCCTCAACTAAAGATGAATCGTAAAAAAACCTTTCAACTATATATTTAGTGCAAAAACTCATCAACTTTAAATATGTTCATGAAAATTCTCTTTCGTCTCCATTATCGTAAAAATTAGACGGGTTACAGTTAAATTGAAACTGAAAAACGACATATATACACTTAAACAACATGAATTGTAAACAAAAACAACAAAATCTTTTTCTATCTGATTATAAATCCTCAAACCTAAGCTCTAAAGTTCTCAAAGTGAAAAATCTATATTGATGAACCATAATTTATCATAGATTCTCTGAAGTTTGTGTGGTGTAGAAGTTGATTAGGAGAGATTCTGAAAAATGTTACGTTTTAATTTGAACTGTAGTCCGTCCAATTTTTACGACACTGTAGACAGAGGGGAATTTGCATGAACATATTCAAAGTTGAGGAGTTTTTCCACTAAATATATAATGGAGGAGTTTTCTTACTATTTATCTTTAGTTGAAGGGTTTTATTACTAAAAAAACCCAAATAAATACTATAAAATTTTGAAAATTCTTCTTTTTAATTATAAAATAAGGGAATTTTGTGAGTAAAAGTCTAATACAAAATCGCTTTTATGTCTTTATGTAATATGGAAAACTAGTGGGTTGATGGTAGCTAAACGACCTTAAGTGTCACATCATCATCTTTGTATAATGTCCTTTCGAGATTAAAGATACTGTTTTCAAATGTCAGCAAACGACGTAAATTAACTTATTTTAGGATTCTTTCTATGGTTTTTGGCCCAATTAACTTCTTATAGCCCAATAACTAATTAACTTCTTATAGCCCAATAACTATGTACTTAACAAGGTAAGGTTTGGTAGATATTAGTATATTACCAACGTGTAAAATGTAAATCACTAATAAGTAATAACCAAATGTACCAGAAAAATCTTTTTATGGTCGGTTGAACTAACTGTATTTAAATAATACTTTACTGCTTGAACTAGTTGTTGAACCAAAAACAGTCCAATTTAGACAGTGAAACCAAACTCAGCAGACTCATATTTATGTTGGACCACAACAACATAGCCGATGATCATTAAGTCCAAAACTTAATGTGGTGGTTTTTATTCTCGTTGGAGTTTGATTAGCCGCACTTCGGCACTTGGATATATAGGCGTGTTCTAAGAATTCTAATATTTATTACTATATCAGAAAAATGCATAGATTAATAAATAAATAAATAAAGATTCAAAATTTGGTGCTATGTGATAAAAGAAAATCAGTCTTTGGTTTCAACCGCACCCAAAATTAGAAACTGTTGAAGTGCAGTTGACAACTTTCTTTGAAAATATCATTAAATTGTACATTCTAACACTAATAATACTTTTTAGGATCTCTTTCCACAATTTACACCATAAATATTACGGTTCTTTGTTTCTATGAATGTAAAGTTATATTCAACCAAAAAAAAACTGTTTTACAATAAACGCAGCACGAAATCGAAATGTTTTGAAAATTTTAGAAAAGAGTTACACCTTGAGAGAAAAAATTTATATAAGAGTTACATTTTGAAAATCCAAATGTATATATGTTACTGTTACCATTCATACTGATTCCACAGTATAACTGAACTCGTTCTTGTATGTATAAATGGCGTGCCAAGAAGTTTACAATTTCTATACATAGCTAGAATTTTATAAATATGGAATACAATTGTAATCTGCCTCAACAGTGAAAGAAAAACGCATACCTGCAAAATCACTTTCGTGAACCTCAATCCAACATAAAAAATTAATCGAATCAAAATTCAAAAATAATGAAGAAAACAATGATCGAAACTCACTTTATCCTTCGCCATCGCACGCACGCTTTGACGATGGTAGGCTTGATAGCCATCCTAAAACCTAACAAGAATCCATTTGTAAAGAACAGACATGAGATATCGACCACACGAGTGCTTATTTTTATGGATAATATATTTGTCAAAAGGCGAATGGTTTACGAAAAGGAGGTCGCGAATTAAGGAAAAAAGTTTATCATACTTTATGTCTTAAAAAATGTTTCTCATACTTTAACTGGAATCGTCTATTTTATTATTATAGGTTTCGAACTTTCGATTAGTAATCTGATGAAACGTAGTAAATTTGATTGAGTTGTTTATCTCGGTTGTTATGAATTTTGACTTAGCAACCATAAAAACAACTAATTTTTGGTCATATATACATTATCTCGGTTGTTAGTAAAGTGTTTACATTCATTCGATGAGTAAGTGGACATATTTTTTATGCGTTTTTATCTATTCTCACTAGACTTATAATTGAATTTGGGCTACTATCAGTGCTAGATTGTATTTCTATTTTATAAGAACAGGAATAGTGTGTTTATTGTGAAATATCCGTTAAAAACTTTTAATGGCAACTTGATATACCTATATGCATTATGCATATTTGGTATGGTCTACATGTTCTCTTAGTTATTCGTTAAATAGGTTATTGTGGAAGGTAATAACTAATAAGGTATATTAAGCACATGGGGGAGCTTTAACCCACTTTGAATTTATTAGTATATCATAAATTTCATAACTAGTCTATCATCGAGATGATATAGGCCATCTTTGTGTAGTTTGATATTATATTCGAATGGCTCACCTTCAAGCGACAAAAATTAATATTATTTAACAAACAGACAAAAAACTTATTATCAAAATTATAGCTTAAAAATATATTTTTTCTGTCCCGAAATATAAAATGTTTTAAATTTTTTATTTTGTTCTATTTTATACTCCCTCTATTTTACAAAGAGTGTCATTCTACCATTTTGCACACAAATTAAGAAAATCATTTAAATTTTCTTTTTATCTTTTATTAACACACTAAAATAGTTTCTCTTTCTAGTTAATAAGTTGAAAAAAACAGGGATAAAACTGAGATTTTATTTAAAATTCTACATTGAAAACACAAAACGACATTTTTTATGAAACAAAAATAAAACCTTAAAACGACACTCTTTATGAAACGGAGGGAGTAAGATGTTTTGTAGATTTTTCTGCAAAACTTAAATGCATTTACTATTTTCTAATCATTTATGTTATGCAGTATTTTTATGGTTTTTTAAAACAAAAATATTAAATGATATTTTTATCAAAGACATTTTTAATATAGGTGCTTTTAATCAATACATCTTATAAAATGGGACATATGGAATATTTATCAACATTTATACATGTTCACACATGGTTTTATATAACTATTTTTAGGTTCACCCATTTTTATTAGCATCTAATTCAAAATTCTTTTTATAGTTGTTCTAAAGATAAACGTGATCTGGTGTAAATTATAATTAAAAAATTCCTAGATCTGATCATTATTTTTTACTAGCTAGTAAAGTTACTATCCTGGTTTCGATTTCGTTAGTGGTATTAGAAAGAAAAAAAATAATGTTTTTGGTTCTTTGATGTTTTTTATACGTTGAAGGTAAGAATATTTTACACCAACCGTGAGCGTCCTAAGTTCTCTTAACATCATCGCCCAACAAGTAAAACGACCAATTACGAAAACCAACCCATGACAACAAGAGATTTGACGTTTTGTTACGAAGACATTGAACCAAACCAAAGCTGTTGGACCAAATTGACTGATCGATTGTTGTGATTGAGTGGGGACATAACAACGGTCGATAGAGTCGAAGCCACACAAACGGACCAAAATTGTCTACGATAATGACTTTTTGTAACGACACTTCAAATTCAAGGGTATTGCCATAAATTTCATCGACATATATGTCAAATATATAAGGAACATCACGTGTAGTCCAAGGTGTTTGACCTTATCATTTGTCGTGCAAAATAATAGGTTTGATTTCAACTTGATTTGGGGCTTTTAATAAATTTATATCATGTCTTTATTTCAATATTTCATAAGTAAATGATATAAAGTACAAATTTAAAAAAGTAACAATAAAAATGTGAATATCATGAAATGGATGAAAATGCTCTTAAATCTTCAGCTAACAATTGAACATTTACAAACTTCTCTTCATATAGCGAAATAAAAACTATTCATAGTCAGTATTTCAACCGTCATATTATCACTTGACCACTCGGAAAGTGAATGTTCAGAAGTTTTCAAGTTCGAATATCGGCGATGAAGATGATAATATTTGACATGGTTTGTTCCTAGTCCAAAACAATTGTAGATATAGAATTTGTTTGATGTATATATATATATATACACCAAAAGTCTTCTAAATAGACATGCTATATATATGGTGGAGTAGGAATTTTAGACCTAATGGGACCGATCAAACATCTTAGTATCAAATAGTAAACTACATACATATCAATCTGCAAAGACAAATTCTGGATGAAACTGAGAATCGGCACAGTTAAAATCTTTCTTTTTTCAATCAATCGACCACAACATACATATTCCTAAATATTCAATGAACTACTTGCAAAAAATGGCACCTTCCCATATATCTCTTCCAAAAATCATTAAAAGATTTTGATTATGTGGTTGGGACAAAATGGACCCTACAAATGTCACAGAACTCAGCTAACAATTAAACATCTAACTTGTAAATGTCCCTAAAGCTTCACACCCAGACAACAAATACTCTTCACCTTACGAGAACATTTCATTAACTCTTACCCATACCTGAGTCCAACCTTTCACATCGTATACATTATATAGTTCATGTATCGACGAAATTTTGGTCAATTTTATTAAATATAATGAGTACCTACAGATCTGATCCAGCTTCTTTTCTGCTCCATTTCTTTTAATGATTACGAGATCTAAGGTTAAAATCCATATTTCTGAAAACCACTATAGTATTCCATTAAATATATAAATAAGAAACCAAAAAGAATTTTGTCCCAAAAAAAAAAAAAAAAAAGAATCAGGCATTCAGCAGAAGATTAATAGC